AGCCTCTGCCACCACCACTCCTCATTGAAACCCACCAATCAGAAACCTCGCCACCAACATCATCTTCCTCCTCGTCCACTGAAGCAGACATCGAATCTTCAACCCCACCTAAAACACCACTTAACAAGAATAATGAACCTGGCCCAACAACACCATCTTACGAGTCTCGACTACTACTACTACTACCCATGGCTTGGATTTACCTTCTACACCAGAGCAAATTATCCTCAAGAAATGCTGCTACCAGAACTGCACACTAACCTCATCAAAAAGACAGTCACGTTTACCACCGATTCCACTTGCCAAGTTGCTTCAGTTGAACTTTCTAAACTTTCAAAAGCACATTGAAGAATATTCTCAAGATCCCCACCATCAACACTTATTAACACGCCTCATGGTCATCCCAATGCAACGTTTTAAACGTCTTGAAAATGGAATTGAAATCAACAAGCAAAATGTCATCGTGAAACAGCATCACAACTCCAAGTAACCACCAAACTCCTTGAACTGACCAATCAATGATAAGCTCCTCCCTTGTCGCCTACAGTCTCCAATCATCAGCATGTCTCCATTTCTTCCATCAAGCAAGATGCAGCCGGCTCCTGCAGAGTCTCCAGTTGCCTTCTATATTGCCTTCGTCAGTGTTGTCCTACAACTCAAGACATTCCTCTCACCGTTTATTCTTCGCCCTGTCCCCACTTGTCCCTCGCCCCTAGTGGGTCTTTACCTGTGAATCCTCATTCATTCATTCGAAAAGATATGCCAAATGAATATGGCATTTTTCCAGTGCAGGTGACACATGCTGGCGCATGGCACACCAGAAGCTATCATTCCACTCTTGGGATAGGAGTTGCCATTGATGCAGAATATGAAATATGGCAATATGAAAGTGGAGGCTGCAAAAAAATAATATAGCCACAATCTGTTGGCTACAATATGCAATTTGAGGTCATTGATTGAAGCTGACACTGCAACTTTTGCAGACATCAGTGGCATGAGCAATGGGGACAGACCTTACCCCAAAATGGATATTAGAAAAGAGAAATGAATCAATCATTATTCCAAAAGATGGAAAAAACCACTTTCAGCATTTGTTAAAAATAATTACATATACAAAAGAATGCATGCATGAGCGTGTTTGATAGGAGTGAATGGAGACAAATGGTTTTTAATACTTGACGTGCTGTTGGAATGTGAGCAAAGAAACACTTATGAAGGGGTTCAGGGAAACCGGCAGGCCGGACTTGAGTCCTGGAGATGGGAAGTACAGTGCCTGCACTCTGAAGGAGGGATGTTAATGTTGTAGTTTAAAAACTGTAGTGTAAAGCACCCTTCTGGCAAGACAGTGATGGAGTGAATGATGGTGAAAGTTTTTCTTTTTCGGGCCACCCTGCCTTGGTGGGAATCGGCCAGTGTGATAATAAAAAAAAAAAATAAACAAAAGAATCACTGAAAAGCAGTAAGAAAAGGAGAAAGTTTTCAATGTTAGGGAAGATCACTCACTGATGCAATAATAGACAAGCTTGCATTTTACTTTGGCAGTAATACGAGGCAAAATGTAAATATGACTAAAGAAACAATGGGGAATGGCGTACTTGCAATGCTCTTGCATTACCCATTGAGTATCCTTGGTTTAATCCCCAGCCAGGTAGAAACACTGGGCATGTTTCCTTACATCTGCTGTCCCTGTTCACCTAGCGGTAAGTAGGTACCTGGGTGTTCGTCACCTTACACCAAATATTGGATGGAAGAAGAGAGGCCAAATCATTTATAGCAAGGAGAAAAAGTGCTGTGCTCAGAACGCATCCCTGGGGGACACCTTCAGCTTGGACAAAGTCCGAGGAGAGCACATTATTAACCCGAACACAGAAATGTCCGAAAGGGGGTAAAGCAGCAGGAATTGACGGGATCATGACAGTAATGCTAAAAGCAGGGGATGATATAGTGTTGGAGTGGTTGGTATTTTTGTTTAATAAATGTATGGAAGAGGGGAAAATACCTAGGGACTGGCAAAAAGCAAGTATAGTTCCTTTACATAAAGGGAAGGGGGACAAGAGAGATTGTAAAAATTATAGGGGAAGAAGTTTACTGAGTATACCAGGAAAAGTGTACGGTAGGGTTATTATTCAAAGAATTAGAGGTAAGACAGAATGTAGAATTGCGGATGAGCAAGGAGGCTTTAGAGTGGGTAGGGGATGTGTAGATCAAGTGTTTACATTGAAGCATATATGTGAACAGCATTTAGATAAAGGTAGGGAAGTTTTCATTGCATTTATGGATTTAGAAAAGGCATATGATAGAGTGGATAGGGAATCAATGTGGCAGATGTTGCAAGTATATGGAATAGGTAGTAAGTTACTAAAGGCTGTAAAGAGTTTTTTATGAAGATAGTGAGGCTGAGGTTGGGGTGTGTAGAAGATAAGGAGACTACTTCCCGGTAAAAGTAGGTCTTAGACAGGGATGTGTAATGTCACCATGGTTGTTTAATATATTTATAGATGGGGTTGTAAAAGAAGTAAATGCTAGGGTGTTCGGGAGAGGGGTGGGATTAAATTATGGGGAATCAAATTCAAAATGAGAATTGACACAGTTACTTTTTGCTGATGATACTGTGCTTATGGGAGATTCTAAAGAAAAATTGCAAAGGTTAGTGGATGAGTTTGGGAGGGTGTGTAAATGTAGAAAGTTGAAAGTGAACATGGAAAAGAGTAAGGTGATGAGGGTATCAAATGATTTAGATAGAGAAAAACTGGATATCACATTGGAGAGAAGGAGTATGGAAGAAGTGAATGTTTTCAGATATTTGAGAAGGGCGAGGTTAACCATAGAACTGATGAAGGAAAAAAGGCGAGTGGTGCATTGAGGTATATGTGGAGACAAAAAACGTTATCAATGGAGGCAAAGAAGGGAATGTATGAAAGTACAGTGGTATCAACACTCTTATATGGGTGTGAAGCTTGGGTTGTAAATGCTGCAGTGAGGAGGTGGTTGAAGGCAGTGGAGATGTCCTGTCTAAGGGCAATGTGTGGTGTAAATATTATGCAGAGAATTCAAAGTGTGGAAATTAGGAGACGGTGTGGAGTTAATAAAAGTATTAGTTAGAGGGCTGAAGAGGGGTTGTTGAGGTGGTTTGGTCATTTAGAGAGAATGGATCGAAGTAAATGACATGGTGAGCACATAAATCTGTAGGGGAAGGAAGGCAGGGTAGGGATTGTCCTCGAAAAGGTTGGAGGGAGGGGGTAGAGGTTTTGTGGGCGAGGGGCTTGGACTTCCAGAAAACATGCATGAGCGTGTTAGATAGGAGTGAATGGAGATGAATGGTTTTTGGGACCTGATGAGCTTTGGAGTGTGAGCAGGGTAATATTTTGTGAAGGGATTCAGGGAAACTGGTTATTTTTATATAGCCAGACTTGAGTCCTGCAAATGGGAATTACAATGCCTGCACTTTAAAGGAGGGGTTTGAGATATTGGCAGTTTGGAGGGATGTGTAATAGGATGGTATGTATATAATTGGGGCCCTTGATATTATATTCTATATAGAGTTTATTATTATTTCAGGTCAATTTTTATATTGCATCTTTATATATATGCTTCTAAACTGTTGTATCTGGGTGCCTCTGCAAACACAGTGATTATGTATGAGTGAGGTGAAAGTGTTGAATGATGATGAAAGTATTTTCGTTTTGGGGAGTTTCTTTCTTTTCAGGTCACCCTGCCTAGGTGGGAGATGGCCAATTTGTTGGAAAAAAAATTCATTGATGTGGATAATACTACATAATATTATATACTTTATTTTATACATTTTTATACATATTAATCATACCACATTTGAGGACTAAAACTTAAACAGGTTACAGAAGTAAGATTATATCAGTAAGAATAAATATTAATAGTAATATCACATCAAAAATACAGTACTGTACCTAAAATATTATAACACTGAATTAAACTTAAAAATAAAAGAAAACTATTTCAACATTTTTTCTTTTAATAGTACACCGATCATCTCAAACCGAGGTAAGGTGACCTGTAAAAGAAGAAATATTTTCACCATCACTCACACTTGCCAGAGATGTGCTGATACTACAGTTCAGATGCCCCTTGAAACTACAAATATCCCCACTCCTCCTCAAGAGTACAGGCACTGTACTTCCCACCTCCAGGACTCAAGTCTGGCTAACCGGCTTCCCGGAATCCCTTCATAAATGTCACCATGCTCACACTTCAACAGCAAGTCATATTTAACATGCTCATACATGCCTGGGGGATATCTAAGCCCCTTGCATACAAAACCTCCTTTACCCCCCCCCCCCTCTCTTTCTCTCTCTCTCTCTCTCTCTCTCTACAATTCTTCCTAGAGAAACCCCCTACCCCATCTTCCCTTTTTAACATTTTATTACCCCACAATTAGGAACCTAAAAATATACCACAACCTAAGAAGCTTTATCTGTGATGAAGATCATGGACTTCTACAATCATATCCTGATCTAAAGCTAAAGTATTCAATTTTGAGGCAAATATTACTTCAAAATCAAGTTGAAACAAACAATATATATACAGATTACTTAAAGGAGAAAGTGTAAGACAATTTTGTTTTATATTAAATCAGCCATTTGCCGCCAAGTTAGGGAGGAGGAGGAGCAGGGAACGTATTTACTATAGTGATATAAATGCTTTAGAAAAACCAACAAGTTGAAGAATGAGACTTGTGCAACATTTGATAATCTTAAGATCCCCAAATGTTGCATAATTGTCTTATTCCTCATGTTCGCTACTGTTCATTCCATAAATATCTTACCAGTGAAGGATATCACTGTTCCACTACTCTCCATATTACAACACCCATACCCATGCTTCAGAGTACAGGAACTGTACTTCTCAACTCCAGAACTGTAACATCCCCACCCATCCTTCAGAGTACAAGAACTGTACTTCTCAACTCCAGAACTGTAACATCCTCACCCATCCTATGACAACGCTTCCAACTGTGTATAACAAGAACTGTACTTCTCAACTCCAGAACTGTAACATCCCCACCCATCCTTCAGAGTACAAGAACTGTACTTCTCAACTCCAGAACTGTAACATCCTCACCCATCCTTCAGAGTGCACAGGCACTGTGTTTCCCACCTTCAGGACTCAAATCCAGCTAAATGGCTTTCCTGCTCTCTGAATGATAGCTAGGGATGCTGCAATTCAGAGGATCATTTGAATTTTGAAGTCTATGCACTTCTGGAAAGACAACTAAAAAATGAGTGATGGTGAATGTGCTTCCTTCTTCATTTCATCATGTCTTGGTGGGCACAGCTCAAGTGTGTAATGTATAAAGGAAAAAAATTAATACATGTACTTATCAAGGGTAGTAAAATGTTATTTATACATACAATGAAAAACAAACTGTATATTCCAATATAAGCCTTTGGTATCCACACTACATGCAATAATTTTATGTAATGCCTTTCTTGAAGATCTAATTTTTTTTTTTTTTAAATTCTAATCATCAAATGTATTATACAAGAAGTCTCTGAGGGTAGTGCTTTGAACTTTGCTACCCGAGCCACCCTTCAGAACCACTTTCACAGCATTTTTCTTTTTAACGAAAGACAACTTTGGTTTGGGGAACTCGTCCACTTTGTGATGACCTCCGAGACCGTCATAGCCGACATGATCTGGTCCAGGTCTGGTGTCGCTTGTCTTCTGGCTCTTGCCTGCAAAATATAAACAGTTACACCGCATTACAGTAAACCTTTGATTTAATGAACCTCAATTTAACGGACTTCAAGATAAAATCCACTAGATCAACTGATCTGGAAACAATGGAGAAAGTTCACTCGAGAATTGCTCATAATTGTTTCAATCGGTACGAAAATGTCATCTCTATCCACCAAAACAGCCATTACCAATCCTTAAAAATCAAGAGTTTGCTGTACTAATTTGCTGTTACTAAGAACTTCAGTAATAATTTAAACACACAATATAGCTGATCCTCAACTCACAATGCCTTAAGTTGCATACAGTCACACTTACAGACGGGAAACACAAGACCCAGTTTAAGTTTTACAACCGCTGAGCTGCCGTACAAACGTGTGCAACATGACCATTCTTTTTTAGTATGTTTTTTCTATACAATCAATTTGCAATGAGGAAAAACCAGGATTGCAACTTGTGTATAAGATGAAAAATTTCCACGAATTAATCTTGAAGTACAACAATGAAAAATGAAAAGCTAAAAAGGTGCATTGCCAACAGCAATGCAAACTAACCTCTAAACTTTGATTAAAAAAACTTAAAGCACTAATTTACTTCTGTAAAATAAAAAGCCTGATATTATCTTTGATGAGATACAAGAGTTTTTCTGAAGAATTAGACACATGTGAAACACTTGGGTATCTTTACTGAGGAAACTTTTTGCCATGCAGTGGCTTCATCAGTCCTAAACAAAGAAGAATGGTGAAGATCAGAAAGAGTTTGAGGTAATCAGTCCCCCCAATATACAGTGGACCTCCGCCTTACGATCAGCTCCCAACTCGAACAATTATGTAAGTGTATTTTTGTAAGTGCTTTTGTACATGTATTTTTGGGGGTCTGAAACAGACTAATCTAATTTACATTATTCCTTATGGGAACAAATTCTGTTCGGTAACGGCACCCAAACAGACTTCTGGAATGAATTAATATCGTAAGGCGGGGGTCCACTGTATAAGCCACATATGCTTATTCTTTATTCTCAAAGACTCCAGTGGACCGATTACATCGACTCCAGGCTGAGGGACCGATTACATCGACTCCAGGCTGAGGGACCGATTACATCGACTCCAGGCTGAGGGACCGATTACATCGACTCCAGGCTGAGGGACCGATTACATCGACTCCAGGCTGAGGGACCGATTACATCGACTCCAGGCGAGGGACCATTACATCGACTCCAGGCTGAGGGACCGATTACATCGACTCCAGGCTGAGGGACCGATTACATCGACTCCAGGCTCAGGGACTGATTACCTCAAACTACTGATCTTCACCATTCTTCTTTGTTTAGGAATGATGAAGCCGCTACTGAGGAAATTTTTGCCACACAAAGATACCCAAGTGTTGCACGTGTGTCTAATTCTTTAACTTGTCAGTTCTCTGAACCACTTAACTACATAAGAGTTTTTCTACTTCCAGAGCCCGGCCATAGGCCAGGCTCATCTGGTGTTGGGCATGTGCTAGTTCAGGCGAGTAGTCTGGTATAAGCCTTGGTAATCTGATACCAACGAGTTTAGCCCTTTCAGAGTCCAGAAGCCAAATTTCAAAGTGCACACCAGGGTCCAAGAATTTTCAAAAAAAAATTTTGTTATTTTTTCTTATGACATGGTACAGAATCTTTTTCTGAAGGTAATAAAACAAAAAGTATGAAATTTGATGGAAAATTGACGAATTTATGCTCTCACGAATTTTGATGTGTCTGACTCCCATTTTAGGCCAATTGCATTACTCCAGTCGACCAAATTCTTAGCTATTTCACTAGTATTACTTCTATTCTATCGATTAAGCACAATAAATCGCCCAGTCAACTGTTTCAACTACAAAATAAAGTGCTCGGAAATTGGTAATTTGGCCAAATTAACCCTTAAATGGTCTAAACGTATATATACGTTTTTTCAACATCTGAAAGTATGTAAAAAATGTAGATCTTCTTTTTTGTTTTACATTTGAAAACGTGTAAAAAAACTTTTATCTACATTTTTTTTTTCTTATATTTGAAAATATGTGAAAAAAAGTAGATCTACTTTTGTAGCACTATGAATTTGAACGTCGATCTGTTTGGACCGTTTAAGGGTTAACACAAAGTTCAAAATATTCCAATTTCAAAATAGGGTCCAGAATAAACAATGCAAACATTCCTGGTGCTAAAGTAACATTTCCTCTGTTCATTAGTTACATTTTGAGGCTTCACAAATGAATTCCATTTTGATTTTTTATTCACATAATGAATTTTTATTCAAACCAAAAAATAGAAGATTTACTGTTATGCAATATTGTAATAATTGTATAAATATCATCACCACATTTGTGAATGTATATTAGACCCACCAGCTGGCGTGTATTAGACGTGTGAGGTCGTTTGTTTTCTCTTGAACATTGGCAAAAATTTAACATGTCCGCTACTTTGAGCTCAGTTTCAAGCCATTTCCAGTACTAAAACCAATCAAAATCATCTCTATTTCTGTAATATGTCTTCCATTCTATCAAATGAGACCAAGAAATCGCAAATGTACAACTATAAAAAACATAAGAAAAACATTGCAAAGTCGCTGTTTTAATCGAAAATCACGGTCTCAGTTTTTTTCTCTCATTATGCACTGTGTGCTGCAGGATTAGTTTTATGTGGTGCACACATACGACATAGATGTATTCTCTCATATCTAGGCCCAAATTTACCACTCACAGCTTGTCAGAGTGAGCTGAGCTCATGGCGTAGATCTACGGTTTGGGCCCTGAACATAAAGCCCCATTATTATTATAATCAAAAAGAAGCGCTAAGCCACAAGGGCTATACAGCACAAAGCCGTAGATCTATGGCACGGACCCTGAAAGGGTTAAAAAACACACCTGAGTAAACACTAGCTCATATATGTTAGAAAGCATTTTGGTCCTGGGACCTGGATGTTAATATGATGAAGATCACAGCACCAAAACATTTTCTAATATATGGGTCTTAGAATTTGATTAAATTCCTTTTAAAGCCAAAATGCACATGAATGTTAGTGGCCTTCTTTGTGCTTAACAATATTTTATTATATGTAAACTATACATTGTATACTACAAAGAAATAAAGTTGTTTGCTATGTTTAAGGCAAGTAGTAAACACTAGTTGCTGGTATAAACATTCCAACACAAAGAAAATCAAACAGAAGACAAAGTACTCGTGAAATCAAAATAACAGTACTGTAACAATTCGCCAAATGGAGACTGGTAGGACACAATGGTTTACACACTAGCCTAATAGTTTTAGCACTAGATTGCCATGGGTTTGAGCCCTCCATTGAGAAGATAAAGAGAGCAGTGTATATTTCAGGCTATCAGTCCTTTCATGAAGGGTGCTACAATGCTACCGAAGGGATCTATCCAATGAACTGGAGTCACTCTTTCTTGCCATCAAACTCAATTACAAGTAACCTTGACTTACGATGGTTCGATTTACGATGGTTCGACTTACTTACATTTTACTTTTCAATACTAGTACAGCAGAACTCCCATATCCATGGATTTGGTATCCATAGTTTCAGTTATCATGATTCACCATGGCCAGAAAATAACCCTTAATTTTGCTTAATAACGGCCCCAAAGAACAAAGTAGTGATGCTGGCAGTTCTTCAAAGTCTAAGAGAAGTCGTAAAGTGCTTCCCGTCGGTGAAAAAGTGCTAATTCTAGACTTATTTTGCATAATTTATCAATTAAACTTTATCATAGGAATGTATGGAAATGAAAAATGACTCGTATATAGGGTTCATTACTATCTACGGTTTCAGGTATCCATGGCAGGTCTTGGAACATATCACCCACAGATATGATGGGCCTACTGTATTTAGTAATGGTAATTATTTGTTTACAGTATTTACATATTCAGTGACAGTAGTTATTTATTTAGGAGTGCACGTGTCAGCAGATGGGTCTATGAAGGATGAGGTGAATCACAGAAATGATGAGGGGAAAAGGGCGAGTGGTGCACTGAGGAGTCTGTGGAGACAAGGAACTTTGTCCGTGGAAGCAAAGAGGGGAATGTATGAGAGTATAGTTATACCAACACTCATATATGGGTGTGAAATATGGGTGATGAAGGCTGGAGGCAGTGGAGATGTGATGTCTGAGGGCAATGTGTGGTGTGAATGTAATGCAGAGAATTTGCAGTTTGGAAATTAGGAGATGCGGGATTACCAAAATTATTATCCAGAGGGCTGAGGAGGGGTTGTTGAGGTGGTTAGGACATGTAGAGAGAATGGAACAAAACAGAATGACTTCGAGAGTGTATAAATCTGTAGTGGAGAGAAGGTGGGGTAAGGGTCGGCCTAGGAAAGGTTGGAGAGAGGGGGTAAAGGAGGTTTTGTGTCCAAGGGGCTTGGATTCCAGCAAGCATGCGTGAGCGTATTTGATACGAGTGAATGGAGACGAATGGTTTTCAGGACTTCACGTGCTGTTGGAGTGTGAGCAAAGTAACATATATGAAGGGATTCAGGGAAAACGGCAGACCAGACTCAAGTCCTGGAGATGGGAAGTAGTACAGTGTCTGCACTCTGAAGGAGGGGTGTTAATGTTGCAGTTTTATAACTGTAGTGCAAGTGCACCTGTGGCAAGACAGTGATGGAGTGAATGATGATGATGAAAGTTTTTCTTTTTCGGGCCACCCTGCCTTGGTGGGAATCGGCCGATGTGTTAATAAAAAAAAAAAAATTTGACAAGCACCTAAAGTCGGTTCCTGACCAGCCGGGCTGTGGCTCGTACGTTGGTTTGCGTGCAGCCAGCAGTAACAGCCTGGTTGATCAGGCTCTGATCCACCAGGAGGCCTGGTCACAGACCGAGGCCGCGGGGGCGTTGACCCCCGGAACTCTCTCCAGGTAAACTCCAGGTAATTTTCGACTCGCAATATTTTTGGCTAACGATATTTTTGACTTGGGATGGGTTCGTCACAACATAATTCCATCGTAAGTCATGAAGCCCCTGTACCTCCTCCTCTCCATTTCCTACCTAAATACGGTGAACTAATAACAATATTGTTCTGGCTGTAAATGATATGGTGATACTGGCAACGTGTGAAAAGAACACTTGTGCACAGTTCAGGATATGAAAGGAAATATTTTACCATGAGTGGGTTCAATTTATCCTGATGAAACCGCTATTGGTAAATGTTACAGGCATCCCAGGCATCCCTGCTAATATGGTGGGTTAGATTCCAGACTGCTGCCATAAAGCAAATGTCACCTTCAAAGTGAATCACAGCCCTTTTTTCACTTGCCAGTGCACATAGAAGCCTAAAAACATGTTTATATTATCATTTACTAAGTGTGCAATAGTGCTAGGCCTAAAAAAATGCAAATAAATTTTTTTTTTTTTTATCATCACACTGGCCGATTCCCACCAAGGCAGGGTGGCCCGAAAAAGAAAAACTTTCACCATCATTCACTCCATCACTGTCTTGCCAGAAGGATGCTTTACACTACAGTTTTTAAACTGCAATATTAACACCCCTCCTTCAGAGTGCAGGCACTGTACTTCCCATCTCCAGGACTCAAGTCCGGCCTCCCGGTTTCCCTGAACCCCTTCATAAATGTTACTTTGCTCACACTCCAACAGCACGTCAAGTATTAAAAACCATTTGTCTCCATTTACTCCTATCAAACACGCTCACGTATGCCTGCTGGAAGTCCAAGCCCCTCGCACACAAAACCTCCTTTACTCCCTCCCCCTTTCCTACTGACCCTACCCCCTTCCTCCCTACAACTGATCACTCTTAATCATCGTTTCGCTATTCCTTACTGTCCGAACCACCTCAACAACCCTTCCTCAGCCCTCTGGACAACAGTTTTGGTAATCCGCACCTCCTCCTAACTTCCAAACTAGAATTTTCTGCATTATATTAACCACACTTACCCTCACACATTCATGCCTCCAGCCTTCTCCTCGCTGCAACATTCATCACCCATGCTTCACACCCATATAGAGGTTGGTAAAACTTACTCTCATACATTCCCCTCTTTGCCTCAAGGACAAAGTTCTTTGTCTCCACAGACTCCTAAGTGACCACTCACCCTTTTCCCCTCATCAATTCTATGATTCACCTCATCTTTCATAGACCCATCGCTGACATGTCCACTCCCAAATATCTGAATACATTCACCTCCTCCATACTCTCTCCCTCCAATCTCATATCCAATCTTTCATCACCTAATCTTTTTATCCTCATAACCTTACTCTTTCCTGTATTCACTTTTAATTTTCTTCTTTTGCACACCCTACCAAATTCATCCACCAATCTCTGCAACTTCTCTTCAGAATCTTCCAAAGAGCACGGTGTCATCAACAAAGAGCAACTGTGACAACTCCCACTTTATGTGTGATTCTTTATCTTTTAACTCCACGCCTCTTGCCAAGACCCTCGCATTTACTTCTCTTACAACCCCATCTATAAATATATTAAACAACCACGGTGACATCACACATCCTTGTCTAAGGCCTACTTTTACTAGGAAATAATTTCCCTCTTTCCTACATACTCTAACTTGAGCCTCACTATCCTCGTAAAAACTCTTCACTGCTTTCAGCAACCTACCTCCTACACCATACACCTGCAACATCTGCCACATTGCCCCCCTATCCACCCTGTCATACGCCTCTTCCAAATCCATAAATGCCACAAAGACCTCTTTAGCCTGGTCCACACATCCCCTACCTTTCCTAAAGCCTCCTTGTTCATCTGCTATCCTATTCTCCGTCTTACTCTTAATTCTTTCAATAGTAACTCTACCATACACTTTACCAGGTATACTCAACAAACTTATCCCCCTATAATTTTTGCACTCTCTTTTGTCCCCTTTGCCTTTATACAAAGGAACTATGCATGCTCTCTGCCAATCCCTAGGTACCTTACCCTCTTCCATACATCTTTGTAGCAAGGCAAACACCAAATATAACTGGCAAGTGCCATATTAATGAAGCATTCTAAAGCAAAGTGCCTTAAAGGGAGGTATGTCTGTACTTTTAATAAATGTCCTCAACTGTACACAAATGTCTTTGTTAACAATTTTTATTTTTTTAACACATGGCCGTCTCCCACTAAGTTAGGGCATTCTGAAGAAAAAAGAAAAAATGTCTTCCCAAAAGTGTGCTGACATCTCAGCTTAGATGACCCTCTGACTGGGCCACGGGGGGTACTGACCCCCAAAACACACTGCACACCTATTACAATCACAAAACCATAATACTCATAAGACATATAATAAAATCCCAATATTGAAGAGAGACAATAATTGAAGGCAATTACTCACCAAGATCCTGAAGTGAAGGTTTATTTTTTACGAATATATTGTGGGAGTTGTTGATCTTGGGGCGAGTAACATTATTGCTGCGCGAGTGGTGCTTGGTGAAGAGATTCGTCTGGAAAACATTAAAAAACTTTAGTCATATGTAATGTACAATAACTCTCTGCTTTTGTGAGAGATGAAAGTTGAGGTAATCAAAACAAATGCATCTTCACACATTATTACCCTAACGGGGATGCACTAAAATCATCACGGTCCTATAATATTAATAAAAATAATAATCATTTGAGATCCCAGGTAGTAAGTTGGTAGACAGCAACCACCCAGGGAAGTACTACTGTCCTGCCAAGCGAGTTGAAGATGAGAACTTGTAATTGTTTTACATGATGGTAAGATTGCTGGTGTCTTTTTTTCTGTCTCATAAACATGCAAAATTTCAGGTACGTCTTGCTACTTCTATTTACACTTATGTCACACTACACATGCATGTACAAGCATTTATACACACACCCATCTGGGTTTTCTTCTATTTTCTTACTAATTCTTCTTCTTATTTATTATCTTTTCGCTTCATGGGGAAGTGGAACAGAATTCTTCCCCTATAAGTCATGCGTGTCATAAGAGGCAACTAACATGCCAGGAGCAAGGGGCTAGTAACCCCTTCTCCTATATGAATTACTAAATTTAGAAAGAAAAACTTTCATTTTTCTTCTTAGGTAAGCTTAAATCTAACTTAAGACTACAAGGGTAATAACTATTAACTGCTTATATATAAGGATCTTTAGGGTATACAAACAACAAATTTAGGAATGGGGATAACCAGGTTTGATCAAAGGAATGGGAGGCCAACTCCAATACTTCAGATAAGAACCACTTCAAGAGCATCAAGCACTCCTGCTTCAAGTGAGCTTTTTTTTTTGTTTTTTGAATACCAATTCTTTCAGCAAGGCCCCTCAAGAAAGGTTCCTTGATGTTGGTGAGGGGCTCTTGATTTAGGGAATTGGATCTGTGCTCCAGTTCCCCAAATTAAGCCTGAATAACAAAAAAAGGCACAATACCGTGACTGGAACGATACACACATAAACCCGCACATAAAAGGTAGAAGCTTACGACGACGTTTCGGTCCGACTTGGACCATTGACAAAGTCACATCCCCCCCAGGGCGCTGTATAATCCTCTGGGTTTAGCGCTTCCCCCTTGATTATAATAATAATAATTATCTCTCAGCAAGGAAGGGATGACACAAGAGAGAACCTGCAAGCTCAAGAATTACACACTTTTTCAACATTTGGGAATTGAACCACGGAATAGTTGGGGTTTAAACTCGTGGCAAAATGTAAAACTCCAGGCCAGGGCTACTCACTCACCCTGGGTTCAAACTCCACCTATACTCTGGTTTGCAATCATTATAATTTCGCGAGTCGTTTGGGAACTTTTATTGTGGAAGCGTTTTGACAATAAGAGGCTTCTTCAGTCAGGTACAGACATGAATGATGGAAGATGAGAGGAGTTTGAAGTAATCAGTCCCTCAAAAGCGATGAACTGAACACACAGACTCCAAGCCAAGGGACTGATTACCTCAAACTCCTCCTCATCTTCCACCATTCATCTCTGTACCGAACTGAAGCTGCTGCTTGTTAGCGAAACGTTTCCAAAATAAATTCCCAATGTTGTAGAAGTGTCTAATTTTTCCACACGTCTCACACACTGTCACACACACCCATGAAAACTACTAAATTATCTTTACATTCCTGGGTTAAGTATTACTGAAGAATATAAAAGCCGAATTATGATTATGATTATGTTTTGGTCTAATTTAGACCATTAACTAGTGACTAGTTAAACCTTTAAATTGTCCTAACGTAGATTTACGTTTGCACCGCTAGAGCTCCGAACGTAGATCTACGTTTTATTTTTCATTCCTTCAAAATTGGCGCAATAGGCCCGAGTTAACTAGACATGAGAGAATGGGTCTGCGCACTCAGTATGAAAAAAATCAGGGATGCTGGGGTACCTCGTGGTAGCACCATTAGTTTCAGCTCCATCTTGGGTCATCGTGGTAAAGCCAGTGATTCACTCACGTCTCGTCGTATTAACACTACTATTCTCGGAAAGTGATACCGAATGCCAATATGGCCACTAATGATCAAGGAATTAGTGAAACTATTGATGACAACCCAGATGACCCTCAAACCATCACCTCTGGGATGGCCACTGTGGACCGTGTGGTCATACCAGATCCTCAGCCCAGCACCTCTGGGGTTGCTAGTGTTACTACCCAAAGGCAACTCTGCAAAAGAAAATTATCATTTTCAATGCATTATGGTGATGATGATAGTGAAAGTAATATAAGTGACGATGATGAAATTGATTTTATGCCCATAGAGGATTCATCGAGTGAAAGTGATATGCATTATTCCCTAGTGAAACGTACTTTTAGGCGTTGTCGCCTATGTTCGGGCAGTGTGCCACATGCAGTTGGCAAGGGTTGTGGCAGGTCACGATCCAAAACCCCAGCCACTGATAGTGATATTGATCATGAAGGAGAATATGGTGGGATGGAGGAATAGGAGGTGGGTGGCATGTTGCCTGAACCTAGTGGTGCGGTGAGTGGGCAAACAAAGGACCGCCCAGCACCCTCTCAACCATGTGCTACCTCCACTCCCATTCCTCCTGCTCCCCCATGCCCCATGCCACAGGTCCACCCCGCACCATCTGACCGCGAATGGAACTGGACAGAAAGGACACCATTTGTGCCACATCCCTTCAATTTTGATGCCAGTGAAAGTGACATCAGACCTGAATGTCCCATCACAAATGAGTCTACAGAGTTAAACTAATTCCAATTATTCTTTGATGAGCCTATAATGAACCTGATTGTTACCCAGACCAACATGTGCTACCGGTATACAATGGACAACACAGATGTTGCAGAATCGTCACGGCTGTGCAGGTGGAAAGATACAACTGTGGCTGAAATGTATTTGTTCCTTGGCACTGTCATGCTTATGCCACATACATTTAAAAACAATACAGCACACTACTTGTCCACAGACTACTTGATCGGCACTCCAGTCTTCCGTGACCTCCTTCCCTGCAACAGATTCACTCTGTTGCACTTCTCGGATAGGAATACACCCAACAGAAATGACCTCCTATACAAAATCCGGGAATTGTTTATGTATCTGAAGCAAAAATTCACTGCCTACTTTTATCCATGCAAGAACATTGTTGTCGACGAGTCCTTGATTCTGTTCGAGGGACGACTGTCATTCAAACAATATATACCAAGCAAACGTAATCGCTTTGGTATAAAACTCTTAGTTATGTGTGACTGAGACTGGTATTGTTTTGGATGTCATTATCTACACAGGGAAAAGTACACTCAACGATACCAGGCACATGTCGGGCATTTCTGGGGATGTTGTTCACAAGATGATTGGCAAGGATCATACAGTGTTCATAGACAACTGGTATACAAGCCATATGCTCACCAATTTCCTCCATGTGAACAATACCGATGTATGTGGAACAGTGAGAAGAAATAGAAAACACATGCCAAGGTTCACTGGCGGTATTGCTGATGGTGCAGTGCAAGCGTTTCATGCCACTGATATCATTGCACTGATGTGGCATGACAAACAGGATGTGACGATGCTGTCAACCATCCACAGAAATGAGATCGTACAAACAGACAAAGTGAACAGGGACACCAACAAATGTATTGTAAAGCCAGCTGCTGTCGTGAACTATACAAACAATATGCATCTAGTCGACAAGTGTGACATGCAAATAGGGTTTGTTGACTGTGTGCTTAGGAGTCACAAGTGGTATATGAAAGTGTTTTTCCACCTTGTAGACACTGCAATGCTCAATGCTTTCAACATGTATGAAATAAAGACTGGGAAGCGACAACGATATGCGGAATTCACCCTCAATGTCATCAAGCAGATAGTGAAAAAGTATGGTACCACACCTGTACCTGCCCCTCCACAGCGACCTGTCACCCCACAACTGCAACCTGTCACCTCACAACAAACAGAGGGGAAAGTGCCCAACCGAATAATCCCTAACTGTCACTGTCTGATACTGATACCATCTACCCCAAAGAAGAAATATTCTCAGAAAAAGTATGTTGTGTGTGCTTACAGACAAGGCGACCCCAAGTCCAAAAAGACACACGATTCACATGTCAGCAATGTGGGGTGGCATTCTGTATGAATCCATGCTTCATGGAGTATCAAACAATGGTGGACTTCTAGAAACATAAACAGGACCTGTAAATACCTTGTATAATATATATGTAAACAACAGTATGTGATAGAACCAGGTGTACAAATTCATCTATCAGTGAGAGCATGTGTGTTTGTGACAGTATGATTACTAATTCAGTACCAAACATTTGTGTCTCAACAAGAAATGGCTATGAAATCAAAAGATCTTCAACAAAACATTATTATCCTAACATAAAAACAACAAAAAAAATAGAAAAGAAATGGAAAAAAAAACTTTAAATCTTTATTATTTCTGCAAACAGCAGTGCTCCATGTTGCCGACACCTCATCATTTAGCGCCAACTTCGCGGGCTTATATCTCGGTAAGTACTGCCCCTAAAAATTTTTTTTATACTATAACATTGATAAAAATGCGCACTTCATATTAAAAAAAAAAAATTCAAAATATTCGGAGTGCTGGCGGAGAAAACGTAGATCTATCTTTGGACAGTTTAAGGGTTAATGGTCCAAGTCGGACCAAAACATCGCCGAAAGTTTCTTTCTACTGCGAGTGGGTTATTTGTGTATTAAATACTGTTGTTTACCAAGGAAGATTCTAGATACACTTGTGTGAGCCAAAGCATTTCTGGTTTAACCCTAATGGAGTAGACCTCTTAGAAATAGTTTACATTTGTTATACCTGGATATACTGTACCTGGTGAATTATTATTATTATTATTATTATCACGCATGCGTGAGCGTGTTTGATAGGAGTGAATGGAGACGAATGGTTTTTAATACTTGACGTGCTGTTGGAGTGTGAGCAAAGTAACATTTATGAAAGGATTCAGGGAAACCGGCAGGCCGGACTTGAGTCCTGGAGATGGGAAGTACAGTGCCTGGACTCTGAAGGAGGGGTGTTAATGTTGCAGTTTAAAAACTGTAGTGTAAAGCACCCTTCTGGCAAGACAGTGATGGAGTGAATGATGGTGAAAGTTTTTCTTTTTCGGGCCACCCTGCCTTGGTGGGAATCGGCCAGTGTGATAATAAAAAAAAATAAATAAAAAATTATTATTATATGTACCTGGTGAAGACAAATGCTAAAATATAATTATTAAAATCAAAATTTAGGAACATAAATAGGAGGTAGGTTACTAATAGCAGTTCAAGAGTTCTTATGCAGAGTGAGAAGGTCAGATTATGGTTTGCTGGAGGGGGACTATTACCCAGTGAAAGCAGGATGTAGACAGGGATGTGTGATGTCACTCACATTGTTTAACATACTGTGGTACCCGGAATTTCAGCCATAATTCGTTCTAGAAGGCTGTTCAAGTGCTATTTCCGAATGAATTTGTTCCCACAAGGAATAATGTAAATTAGATTAGTCCATTTCAGACCCCAAAAAATACACTTACAAAAGCACTTACAATAATACACGTACATAATTGTTCGAGTTGTACGAAACTCGGGGTACCACCGTATTTATAGAAGGGGTTGTGAAGGGACGTGTGATGTCACCCTGGTTGTGCAACATATTTACAGAAGAGGTTATGAAGTAAGTGCTAGTGCTGGGAAGGGATGTCAGTTTGGAAGATATTAGGTGTGATATATTATGGGAGTAATCCCAGTTGCTCTTTGTTGATCAAATTCTTTTAGGGTTCAGCAGACAAATTACAAGAATGGTGGTTGAATTTGGGAGGGTTTGTATAAGGACATTAAAGATGAATGTTGAAAAGAGAAAGGTGATAAGATTAACAGCAAGTCTAGGTAATGACAGATTGAATATCAACTGGAGGGAGTATGGAGGAAGTGAATGCGTTTAGATATTTGGGAGTGGATATGTCAGTAGATGGATTTATGAAAGATGAGGTGAACTATAGAACAGATTAAAGAAAAAACTGGGTGGCATGCTGAAGTATATGAGGAAAGAAAGAAGTTCATCTATAGAAGCACTAAAAGGAACATATTGAAGTTTAGTGGCACCAACACTTACGGTATATATGAGTGTGAGGCATGGATCCTGAATGCTATAGTAGCACAAAAAAAAAAAAAAAAGTTAGTCAGCAGAGATGTCATGTTTTAGTGTAATCTGAATTTTGATTATTTCACAGAGAATTCAGAAAACAAATTAGAAAGCAATGTGTAGTCACCAAGGGTATAATTCAGAGGGCTGACGAGAGGTTTTTGAGGTGGTTTGTGAATGTACAAAAGATGTCCTGTAGATCAGTTGGTAGTGCACTCAGCTCACACACTGAGGTCCGTGGTTCGATCCTCAGCATAGGTGGAAACACTGGGTGTGTTTCCTTAAGACACCTGCTGTCTCTTTTCACCTAATAATGTTAGAAATCATGAAAGCACTTGGAAGTTCTATATTTTTTCATAGTGGTTGTGCTGTATATTGTGATATTACCTCTTTACTGTTATTTTAACGCACCTAACAGTAAGTAGGTACCCGAGTGTTAGCTGACTGGTGTGGGTCGCATTCTGGGGACAAAATTAACCTAATTTGCCCAAAATATTCTGTATAACAAAGGGAGCTTTCTATACAGTATGTCATTAATGTCAGCGATGGTCTGTATATGATGTACATGTACAGTACTTGTAGAAATAAAGATTTATTTGTTTATTTCAAAAAGTTGTATAAATCTGGGGTGGAAGGTAGGAGGGGGAGGGGGGTTGTCCCTGGAACTGCTGGAGGGAGTATACAAGAAATTGTTTTAAGGGCATGAGCACCCACCAGGTTTATGTGAGGTGTTAGACAGGAGTGCATGAAGACAAATGGTTTTTTAACAGATGTGCTGTTAGAGTGTGAGCAGGGTAACTCATGAAGTGATTCAGGGACACTGGTTAACTGGATCTGAGTCCTGGAAGTAGAAGGGCAGTGCTTGCACTTTGGAAGAGTGGAACTGATGCAGTCAAAGGGTAATCTGATTGTGACATCAGCACACTTCTGAAAAGACAAAGATTGGGTGAATGTTGTAATAGTGTTGGTAGAATTAAGAACATAAGAAAGGAGGAACACTACAGTAGGCCTGTTGGCCCATACTAGGCAGGTCCTTTACAATCCATCCCTGGCTAGCTCAAATGCCTTCTCAAGATCAAGGTAGACATAAGAACATAAGAAAGGAAGAACATAAGAACATAAGAAAGAACTGACAATATGTTAAGTAAAAGGATGCAAGTGAGTCTAATATGACATTTTATTGTGGCAAAGTTTTGCTCTCCAGGAGCTCTGTCAAGACATTACGGTAACGGCTTCACAAACCTCCCGGAGAGCACAACGTTGCCACAATAAAATGTCGCATTAGATGCACTTGTGTCCTTTTACCTGGGTGAATGTTGGTGAATGTTTTCTTTTTTGCATCACCTTGCCTTGGCAGGTGACAGCCGATGAGTTCAAAATAAAGCGACAATCACTGAAGGGAATGTGAAGCTCATCATAATTCTATTTCATGACCCACACACGTACAAACCTTGCTAATAATAATAATAATAATAATAATATCTTTATTTACTACAAGTACATGTACACGGTATACAGTCCTAGCTGACAACAATGACATACTACTACGTATATAGGAAGTCCCTTGTTATGCTGAGCATGTCGAGCAAATTAGGTCAGTGTCCCAGGATGCGACCCACACCAGTCCACTAACACCCAGGTACCCATTTTACTGATGGGGAACATAGACAACAGGTGGAAAGAAACATGCCCAATGTTTCTACTCTGGCTGGGAATTGAACCCAGGCCCTCACCGTGTGAAGTGAGAGCGTTAGCCACCAGAGCCCCCAAGGTTAAACACTGCATCCCACTCTCTCCTATGGAAGGAGGTTATACCATTTTAGATAAAATATGTTCTTAATTTTCTGGGTTATATCCTTTTATCTTTTTTAACTAGTGTGGTGAAAAAAAGTAGACACAGAATTTAAACTTGTCATTTGAACTGTAATGTCTGAATGTCTCTGACAAGATAGCTACTGAATGAGCATTAATGAAAGTGTTTTTGTTGGGTCAGCCTATCATGGGGTGAATTTAGAGGGCTCTTCTACCCTCACAGCCAGGCCAGGTTTCTTTAGTGATTGCTGAGTATCCAGGTTATTACTGACATTGGTCTACATACCATCACAGTCTGGGTGATATGCCACTTGGAGGAAAAACCACTGATGTTGGAAACAAAGATAGAATTAGTAAAACTAAACACTTTTTACCCTGAGAGAAAGTTGTGATGGATCAGGTTGACCTAATGGGGAGAGCAGAACACTTGCAGCATCATCCGAGGGAGCTACTGCTTCACAACGTGCCACTTTACGCACGACCTGTAATGACAATGGACAATCAAAAAACAGTAAGGTAACATTTTGTGAAGGGATTCAGGGAACTGATTACCTGGACTTGAGTCCTGGAGGTGGAAAGTGCCTGCACTCTACAGGAGGGGTGGAGATATTTTCAGTTTGGAGGGACATCTGAACTGTAGTATCTACATGCCTCTGTAAGGCAGTGAAAGAGTGAATGATGGTGAAAGTATTCTTTCTTGGGGTCACCCTACCTCGGTAGGAGAAGGCTGTTAAAACAAGTCTCTTCTTCTTTCTTTCAACACACCGGCCGTATCCCACCGAGGCGGGGTGGCCCAAAAGGAAAAACGAAAGTTTCTCCTTTTACATTTAGTAATATATACAGGAGAAGAGGTTACTAGCCCCTTGCTCCCGGCATTTTAGTCGCCTCTTACAACACGCATGGCTTACGGAGGAAGAATTCTGTTCCACTTCCCCATGGAGATAAGAGGAAATAAACAAGAATAAGAACTAGAAAGAAAATAGAAGAAAACCCAGAGGGGTGTGTATATATGTGCTTGTACATGTATGTGTAGTGTGACCTAAGTGTAAGTAGAAGTAGCAAGACGTATTATTATTATTATCATCTCCAGTATTTGCATTTTAGGCTTTAAAACAATCTTAAGGTCAGTGTGAGCAAGCATCCTAGAAAATAAAATTTCTGACTGAGGAAGGCTTCAGGAGTTGTATCGCATTACAGCCTCTCTTCACTTAACGACAGAGTTCCTCTCCTGAGACTGTTTGTAAACGAATTTGTCGCTAAACAAGGAGCATACTACAATTGTAGTGGGTTTGAGTCAACCATCTTTGATAATGTTAGGTAAGACACATATGCAACAGTTAGGTATCTTTATTTCGAAACGTTTCGCCTACACAGTAGGCTTCTTCAGTCGAGTACAGAAAAGTTGATAGAAGCTGAAGAAGCCTACTGTGTAGGCGAAACGTTTCGAAATAAAGATACCTAACTGTTGCATATGTGTCTTACCTAACAATCTGTCGGTATTTTATACCATTTTAATGTTCATCTTTGATAATGTTTTAATATCACCTTTGTGCCATTTATAACATTTTTAGCATATTTTAAATGTCAATACAGTAGTGTACTGTATATTGTAATAAATAGAATAGAGGAAATCAGCTCTAATATGCATTACATGTATTTATGTATGCATACTGGTCAGAGAGCCCATCGTAAGTCAGAGTCATCGGTAAACGACTACGTCACTAAGGGAGGAGAGGCTTTATTCACGGCAAACAACACCCACAAGTTGACAAACTTATCAGAATCTCGTTTCTTTTCTTTAACACAGCGGCCATTTCCCACCGAGCAGGGTGACCCAAAAAAGAAATACTTTAATAAAATTTTCTTTTTACATTTAGTAATTTATACAAAAGGGGGTTACTAGCTCCTTGCTCCTGATAATTTACTCGCCTGTTATGACATGCGTGGCTTATGGAGGAAGGCTCCTTCTCCACTTCCTCATGGAGCTGGAATTGTGAAGAGGAGACTGGTAACACACGTGAGCAAAATGAAAGACCACATCCTTAAGAAAAGAAAAAGGCAGGAAGAAATAAAGATCCCATATGCTCACTAGCTGTAGGATCAAGCATCTATTGCAAAGGCACAAGAGTCTGGAAACAAGGAGCTAAAGGTCACTCTACAATAGACTGGAAGAGCTGTGAATTAAGTTTCCACTCATGTGACAATGGAAGGTGATGTGACAGTTGATCTGCCAGGGTACTGATACATCTAGGCAAGTTTAAGGAGAGACACAGGAACTACCTCCAAAAAGAAGAGATCTTCACCATGAAAGAGAAAGCAGCAAATGCCACCAAACCAGAGAGGAAAAGCCAAGCCAGTTCCACAAGACAGTTGGAAAAGACCAAAAAGGTCAAATTCTGCAGGAGTCCCCAGCGCATTACTGCTATACAGATTGCCTAGTTTCTTCCAGTTAACTAACTGGATATGAAACCGAAAGTGCCAAAGCAAGGGTCATGAGCAAGTGTAAACAGTGGAGGAAATATCTTTCTTCTTCCAACAAATTGGCTGTATCCCACTGAAGCAGGGTGGCCCAAAAACAAAAACAAAAGTTTATCCTTTTAACTTGAGTAATGTATACAGGAGAAGGGGTTACTAGCCCCTTGCTCCCGGCATCTCAGTTGCCTCTTACGACATGAATGGCTTACGGAGAAAGAATTCTGTTCCACTTCCCCATGGAGATGGAGGAAATGTCATTGACATTAAATCCTAAAGGTTAGCCTCAATCAGTCCTAGCTTGTGTTTGGATCATACACACTCATTTTTTTTTTTAAACACACTGGCTGTCTCCCACTAAGATAGGGTGACCCATCTGCAGACATGTAAGCAGATGGGCCCACGAAAGATGAGGTGAATCACAGAACTGATGAGGGAAAAAAGGCGAAGTGGTGCAATGAGGAGTCTGTGGAGACAAAGAACTTTATCCATGAAAGCAAAGAGGGGAATGTATGAGAATATAAATGCTCTTATATGGGTGTGAGGCATGGGTAGTGAATGTTGCAACAAGGAGATGTCATGTCTGAGGGCAATGTGTTGCATGAATATAATGCAGAGAATCCATAGTTTGGAGATTAAGAGATGTGACATTATCATAACTATTGTCCAGAGGGATGAGGAGGGGTTACTGAGATGGTTTGGACAAGTAGAGAAGATGGAATGAAATAGAATGACTTCAAGAGTGTATAAATCTGAAGTGAAGGGAAGGTTGGGTAGGGGTCGGCCTAGGAAAGGTTGGAGGGAGGGGGTGAAGGAGGTTTTGTGTGCGAGGGGCTTGGACTTTCAGCAAGCGTGTGTGAGCATGTTAGACAGGAACAAATGGAGGCAAATGGTTTTTAGGACTTGACGTGCTGTTGGAGTGTAAGCAAGGTAACATTTATGAAGGGATTCAGGGAAACCGGCAAGTCAGACTTGAGCCTTGGAGATGGGAGGTACAGTGCTGGCACTCTGGAGGAGGAGTGTTAATGTTGCAGTTTTATAACTGTAGTGTAAGACTGCCTCTGGCAAGACAGTGATGGAGTGAATGATGAAAGCTTTTCTTTTTTGGGCCACCCTGCCTTGGTGGGAAATGGCCGATGTGCTAATAAAAAAAAATACTTACACCATCATTCACTCTATCGCTGTTTTGCCAGAAACATACAAATACTACAATTCAGAGGGCCCTCCAAATTGGAAACATCCCCACCCCTCCTTCAGGGTGCATGCACTATACTTCCCACCACGTACAGGAGGACCCCACTTACAACACTTCGCTAATGCAGCAACTTTCAATTATACCCATTCTTCATTTATTCATGCTTCCTGCAATAAATATATTCACCACTCACTACAAGCTAAGGATGAACATATTTTAAGGTCAGTAATGTGTGTATGTATATACATTTTTTTAGGCTTAGTTCTATTGCTCACTTAATATAGTGGACCCTCACCTAACGATATTAATTGGTACCCGAGAACGAATATCATTAGGCGAGTTTTTTAGCGTTAGCCGAGGCAAAATGTTAGCGTTAAAATGTATCATTAGGGGAATTTAAAGTTATGCAATGCGTTCGTTAGGCGAGGGTCCACTGTATATGGTAGCGCAAACATATCAGGCTTTTATGTGCATTTGAAAGTGAAAAAATTACTATGATTCACTATACAGCAGTAGCCCAGAACCTAATCTGCTGTGTAAGCGGGGCCCTCCTGTATATGGTGAGAAAATACTTAATGACGTGTATTAGACAAGGAAATAAATCAACCCTTTCTCATGGAACAGCCAACATATGTGCCTATCATTTTATCTGGCCACTTTGAAGACTGCTGGTCAACTGTGACTTCCAGTTAACTGGCACACAGTCAGGAGAGTGCCCACTGTATGCTGAAAAACACTGTGCCAACAACAATGCTTGCAAAGCAATGCCATAATGCCTAACTGCATATCATGTCACTGAGTGATTGTTGCAGACATGTCAGGGTTATGTTTCTTCTCAAGATGGCAATATCCCTGATGCAGCCAATAGATTAAAATGTTACAGCCACATATATGGCATATTATTTAATAAAACCCAGTGGTTCAATTGACAATTCTCTTGCATCACAAACTGAGTGTGCGTGGTTCAATCCCCGGCCAGGTAGAAACATCGGACACATTTCCTTACACCTGCTGTCCGTTTACTTAGCCTTACAGTAAGTAGGTACCTGGGTTTTAGTGGACTGGTGTGGGTGGCATCCTGGGGAACAAGATTGATGGCCCACAATGGAAATAAGATGAACAGTCCTCGATGACACGCTGACTTTCTTGAGTTATCCTGGGTGGCTAACCCTGAATGACTTCGAACAGGCGATAAATGACATGCCCATGCACTCTGCCCCAGGGCCAGACTCATGGAACTCTGTGTTCATCAAGAACTGCAAGAAGCCCCTATCACGAGCCTTTTCCATCCTATGGAGAGGGAGCATGGACACGGGGGTCGTCCCACAGTTACTAAAAACAACAGACATAGCCCCACTCCACAAAGGGGGCAGTAAAGCAACAGCAAAGAACTACAGACCAATAGCACTAACATCCCATATCATAAAAATCTTTGAAAGGGTCCTAAGAAGCAAGATCACCACCCATCTAGAAACCCATCAGTTACACAACCCAGGGCAACATGGGTTTAGAACAGGTCGCTCTGTCTGTCTCAACTATTGAACCACTACGACAAGGTCCTAAATGCACTAGAAGACAAAAAGAATGCAGATGTAATATATACAGACTTTGCAAAAGCCTTCGACAAGTGTGACCATGGCGTAATAGCGCACAAAATGCGTGCTAAAGGAATAACAGGAAAAGTCGGTCGATGGATCTATAATTTCCTCACTAACAGAACACAGAGAGTAGTCGTCAACAGAGTAAAGTCCGAGGCAGCTACGGTGAAAAGCTTGTTCCACAAGGCACAGTACTCACTCCCATCTTGTTCCTCATCCTTATATCCGACATAGACAAGGATGTCAGCCACAGCACCGTGTCTTCCTTTGCAGATGACACCCGAATCTGCATGACAGTGTCTTCCATTGCAGACACTGCAAAGCTCCAGGCAGACATCAACCAAATCTTTCAGTGGGCTGCAGGAAAACAATATGAAGTTCAACGATGGAGAAATTTCAATTACTCAGATATGGTAAACATGAGGAAATAAATCTTCATCAGAGTACAAAACAAATTCTGGCACAAATAGAGCGAAACCCCAAACGTCAAAGACCTGGGAGTGATCATGTCGGAGGATCTCACCTTCAAGGACCATAAACACTGTATCAATCGCATCTGCTAGAAAAATGACAGGATGGATAATGAGAACCTTCAAAACTAGGGAGGCCAAGCCCATGATGACACTCTTCAGGTCACTTGTTCTATCTAGGCTGGAATATTGCTGCACACTAACAGCACCTTTCAAGGCAGGTGAAATTGCCGACCTAGAAAATGTAGAGAGAACTTTCACGGCGCGCATAACGGAGATAAAACACCTCAATTATTGGGAGCGCTTGAGGTTCCTAAACCTGTATTCCCTGGAACGCAGGAGGGAGAGATACATGATTATATACACCTGGAAAATCCTAGAGGGACTAGTACCGAACTTGCACACGAAAATCACCCACTACGAAAGCAAAAGACTTGGCAGACGATGCACCATCCCCCCAATGAAAAGCAGGGGTGTCACTAGCACGTTAAGAGACCATACAATAAGTGTCAGGGGCCCGAGACTGTTCAACTGCCTCCCAGCACACATAAGGGGGATTACCAACAGACCCCTGGCAGTCTTCAAGCTGGCACTGGACAAGCACCTAAAGTCAGTTCCGGATCAGCCGGGCTGTGGCTCGTATGTTGGTTTGCGTGCAGCCAGCAGCAACAGCCTGGTTGATCAGGCTCTGATTCACCAGGAGGCCTGGTCTCAGACCGGGCCGCGGGGGCGTTGACCCCCGGAACTCTCCAGGTAAACTCTCCAGGTAAACTCCCTACCCTGAGTTAAAAATCCCAACAAATCTTATCTTAGCCTTCTTCCAACACATTATGCAAACTGATAATGGGACTATATAAACATTTACGAAATTTCAGACAATAATATTTCATAATAAGGGATTTTATTTTTGAGTGCTTGTTCTTTCAAGAAGTTCACAAGAACTCGCACTCAAAATTATAAATTTAACAGCTATGATGAAGAAACATTCTTGATATACATGAGTGACAGTATGATCATTGCCATCTTAATACAGTATGATCATCAACACCATGAGAGTGACAGTATGATCACCAGCATCATAAAAGTGCCAGTATCATCATCACCATCATAAGAGTGCCAGTATGATCATCATTATAGTAAGAGTGCCAATATGATCATCATTATAGTAAGAGTGCCAGTATGATCATTATAGTAAGAGTGCCGGTATGATCATCATTATAGTAAGAGTGCCGGTATGATCATCATTATAGTAAGAGTGGCAGTATAACCATCGTAATGACACAATTGCAAACAAACCATACCACGGGCGGGATTTGAATTTGAATTTGAGTTTTGAGACTCTCTGACCGCAGGTTCAAATCCCGCCCGTGGCATGGTTTCATCAATTGAGACTTGAAAGAGTGAACAGATTCCTGACTCTCAACATACAGTGGCAACCTACTGAAGAGGCTACAAACCACAATAATAAAAAAAAGCCCTTTCTGCAAGATACTTCTCTCCTGCAGCACGACTTAATTTAAAAGGATCCAGTCCAATTTGAAAAAATCATTCATGAACCTGACAAAATATGCATCACAGACATCATTACAAACATCCACAAATTCTGCAATGATTTTACACTGGGCACAGGATTTGATGTGAACCACAAATAATTCGCACACAGAAAGAAACTTATGACGACGGTTTGGTCTGACTTGGATTCAGTGCGGTTTCAGGCATTTTCTGACAAACCTCAGTTTTTAGCTAAAATATGCATACATTGTATATGCTACTTGAAAAAACACATTAAATTCTCAACTTATGAACATACTGAGAATTTTCTGTACTGTGTATATCATTATTGTGTATAATATCTTTATACACAATACAGGTCTCCAACATGTTTGCAAGATGAAGACTCCCTGTATTATAATTATTTTTTTCAACAAGTCGGCCATCTCCCACCTAGGCAGGGTGACCCAAAAAGAAAGAAAATCCCCAAAATGAAAATACTTTCATCATCACTCAACACTTTCACCTCACTCATACATAATCACTGTGTTTGCAGAGATGCTCAGATACAACAGTTTAGAAGCATATATAAAGATACAATATAAAAAGTGTTCTGAAAAAGTGTTACAAATCTTATATACAATTCAGGTCCCCAATGTATTTGTAAGTTGATGACTTACTGCAATACGATTTACTTTACATTTCCCATAAAATGAAATTGTAGCAGCAGTTTCATCGAAAAATGAGCTATGTCAGAAAATGCTAGTCACGCACAGGGTAGCTGAATACAGCCTCTCATTTAATGACCGAGTTCCGCTCCTAAGACCACGTCGGTGAATGAATTCGTCACTATAATGGTAGTGGGTTTGTGTCAGCCATCTTTGATATTGTTTTAATATCACCTTTGCACCATTTATAACATTTCTTGTACATTTTTATATGTTTATAGTGTACTGTATATTGTAATAAACAGAATTGAGGAAATTCGTTCTAATATGCATAATTTAGGTATGCATAATGCTCAGAGAGCCCGTCATAAGTGAGACTACATCACTAAGTGAGAAGAAGCCGTAGTTAATTGTCCAAGTTGGACCAAAACGTCACCCTAAGTTTCTTTCTCATATGTGCGGGTTATTTGTGTATTGTTCCATTCACGGTATTGTGCCTCTTTATTCTTTAAACAACCTAAAAATTTGTCTGGATAAACCCCCAAAATGTAGACCATAGTAACAGTAATCAGTAACACTATGCTACATTAAAATTAGTTTTAAAAGAATCGCAAAAAAGTGTCAAGGTACAGTACACGTATACGTGTGTATATTTACCTCGGAAACAACAATCGCAGGCTCATCAGAGGTGTGAGGACGCTTGAGGTCTGCTGGGGCGGGACTCTCGGCTATCAAACGATGAATCACACTGTTTTTCACATTATCTATGGAATGGAAGTCATTTTAATTTGTTAGATATTAACCCTTAAATGGTCCAAACGTATATATACGTTTTTTTAACATCTGAAAGTATGTAAAAAAATGTAGATCTTTTTTGTTTTACATTTGAAAACCTGTAAAAAAAACTTTTATCTACATAATTTTTTTGTTATATTTGAAAACATGTAAAAAAAAGTAGATCTACTTTTGTAGCAATACGAATTTGAACGTCGATCTGTTTGGACAGTTTAAGGGTTAATGAGTTATGTCTAACAAAAAATTTGCAGTCTTAAGTGTGGCCTTAAGTTTAACATTTTCCACAGATATATTAAGTGGGGCTTCATGTGCAACACTTTCCCCAGATATACTAACCCTTTCAGGGTCCGTCCCATAGATCTACAGCTTAACGTTCAGGGCCCAAACCGTAGATCTATGCTGTGAGCTCAGCTCACTCTGATAAGCTGTGAGTGGTAAATTTGGGCCTAGATATAAGAGAATACATCTATGTGGTATGTGTGCACCACATAAAACAAATCCTGCAGCACACACTGTATAATGAGAGAGAAAAAAAAAACGAGACCGTGATTTTCGATTAAGACAGTGACTTTGCAGTGTTTTTTCATATGTTTTTTTATAGTTGTATTTCCGATTTCTTGGTCTCATTTGATAGAATGGAAGACATATTACAGAAATGGAGATGATTTTGATTGGTTTTAGTACTGAAAATGGCTTGAAACTGAGCTCAAAGTATTGGAAATGTTAAATTTTTGTCGATGTTCAAGAGTAAACAAACAACCTAATATACAGTCACAAATGTGATGATGATGATATTTAAACAATTATTACAATATTGCATAACAGTAAATCTTCTATTTTTTGGTGTGAATAAAAATTCATTATGTGAATAAAAAATCAAAATGGAATTCATTTGTAAAGCCTCAAAACGTAACTAATGAACAGAGGAAATGTTAGTTTAGCACCAGGAATGTTTGCATTGTTTATTCTGGACCTTATTTTGAAATTGGAATATTTTGAACTTTGTGTTAAATTGGCCAAATTACCAATTTCCAATCACTTCATTTTGTAGTTGAAACAGTTGACTGGGCGATTTCTTGTGCTCAGTCAATAGAATAGAAGTAATACTAGTGAAATAGCTAAGAATTTGGTCAACTGGAATAATGTAATTGGCCTAAAATGGGAGTCAAAGTTGGCAAAATCACCGATTCGTAAATATCGCTGACACATCAAAATTCACGAGAGCATAATTTCGTCAATTTTCCATCAAATTTCGTACTTTTTGTTTTATTACCTTCAGAAAAGGTTCTCTACCATTTCATAAGAAAAAACAATTTTTTTTTTAAATTCTTGGACACTGGGGCACCCTTTGAAATTTGGCCTCTGGACCCTGAAAGGGTTAAGTCTGGCTTCATGTATAACACTTTCTCCAGATATATTAAGCATAGTTTCATGTGTAACACTTTCCCAAGAAATGTTTAATGTGGCCTTAAATACTGCATAATACTTTCTTCCCAAGATACACCACTTCAAATATGCAAAACATACATGTTATTTATACAAGTATAATACTGATATTAGCAGTCTGGAGGGATATGTTGTGTATCTTTATACGTATATGCTTCTAAACTGTTGTGTTCTGAGCACCTCTGCAAAAACAGTGATTATGTGTGAGTGAGGTGAAAGTGTTGAATGATGATGAAAGTATTTTCTTTTTGGGGATTTTCTTTCTTTTTTGGGTCACCCTGCCTAGGTGGGAGACGGCCGACTTGTTGAAGAAAAAAAAAAAAAACTGATACAGCTCGAGTGAACTTTAGACAATGGTTTCTCCATCCTGGGCCAGTATCAAGGCGTATCTGAGAACATGTTATTTACCAGGTTGTAAACAGTATGGAGGTAACGACAAACTATGGGAAATGACACTCGTGTACAGTTCAGGACACTTATTACTGGAAACACTGTACCCTGAGTGGCTTGGCAACACACTTGCCTCACACACCGAGTGTCCATTGTTCCATCCTCGACACTGGTGAAATGTCGGGCATGTTTCCTTACACTTGCTGTCTCCATTCACTTAGCAGTAAGTAGGTGCCTGCATGTCAGTGGACTGGTGTGGGTTGCTTTCTGGGGGACAAGACTGAAGGACCCCAATGGAAATCAGACAAACAGTTCCTGACGATGTACTGTCTTAGGATATCCAGAGTAAAAATTCATATTAAAAATTCAGACTTAACTGTATACAAGTGTCCTTTACCACATTTTCTCATTTTATTGATGTAATTTGGTGGCTGAGCTGCTAATGAGCATATAAATTTGGAGTTTGAGAATGGATAATGGGTTTGTAAATCTGATGTTCATATAATTTTTGGATGTACGTAGATGTGGCTCAACATTTTGCCTAGAGAAGTGACTTTACTAGGCAGTGCCACTCATCCTGTGAGGAAACAAACAACTGTTTACTAGTGGCTTTCGTTTGTGTCTAACAATGTTTTATTACATGCAAACTACATTATATATGCACTGCATACAAAGAAATAAAAATCGGAATTTCAAGTGAAATGAACCAGCTTATACAGCTTATATAAATAATATGACATTGGTGATGTCTATTACATCCTTATCTATTTCAATATAAAGGTATCACTAATTTTATAATTCACTTTGATCTTATTATAAAAAAAAAATTCCTGAATGATTTTTGTAAAATGCTGCCAATCTTAAATTACTGGTTCTATTCTCTTGTAATCTTAGTTACGTGCCTACACTTTTGAATCACAACTGTACCATGAGTACTATTCTCTTGTAATCTTAGTTACGTGCCTACATTCTTCAACCATGACTGTACCATGCAGTCTATTCTTTGATAACAACCTATCTGCAAGATGTAGTGGACGTTTCCCTGAATCCCTTCACTAAATATTACCCTGCTCACACTCCAACAGATCGGCAGGTCCCAAGTACCATTCGTCTCCATTCACTCCTATCGAACACGCTCACGCACTCTTGCTGGAAGTCCAAGCCCCTCGCCCACAAAACCTCCTTTACCCCCTCTCTCCAACCCTTTCGAGGACGATCCCTACCCTGCCTTCCTTCCCCTATAGATTTATATGCTTTCCATGTCATTCTACTTTGATCCATTCTCTCTAAATGACCAAACCACCTCAACAACCCTCTTCTGCCTCTGACTAATACTTTTATTAAGTCCACACCTTTTCCTAATTTCCACACTCCGAATTTTCTGCATATTTACACAACACATTGCCCTTAAACTGGACATCTCCACTGCCTCCAACCGTCTCCTCGCTGCTGCATTTACCACCCAAGCTTCACACCCATATAAGTGTGTAGGTACTACTATACTTTCATACATTCCCTTCTTTGCCTCCATAGATAACGTTTTTTGACTCCACATATACCTCAACGCACCACTCACCTTTTTTCCCTCATCAATTCTATAATTAACCTCATCCTTCATAAATCCATCCGCCGACACGTCAACTCCCAAGTACAGTATCTGAAAACATTCACTTCTTCCATACTCCTCCTCCCCAATTTGATATCTAATTTTTCTTCATCTAAATCATTTGATACCCTCATCACCTTACTCTTTTCTATGTTCACTTTCAACTTTCTACCTTTACACACATTCCCAAACTCATCCACTAACCTTTGCAATTTTTCTTTAGAATCTCCCATAAGCACAGTATCATCAGCAAAAAGTAACTGTGTCAATTCCCATTTTGAATTCAATTCCCCAAAATTTAATCCCACCCCTCTCCTGAACACCCTAGCATTTACTTCCTTACAACCCCATCTATAAATATATTAAACAACCATGGTGACATTACACATCCCTGTCTAAGACCTACTTTACCGGGAAGTAGTCTCCCTCTCTTCTACACACCCTAACCTGAGCCTCACTATCCTCATAAAAACTCTTTACAGCATTTAATAACTTACCACCTATTCCATATACTTGCAACATCTGCCACATTGCTCCTCTATCCACTCTATCATATGCCTTTTCTAAATCCATAAATGCAATGAAAACTTCCCTACCTTTATCTAAATACTGTTCACATATATGCTTCAATGTAAACACTTGATCTACACATCCCCTACCCACTCTGAAACCTCCTTGCTCATCTGCAATCCTACATTCTGTCTTACCTCTAATTCTTTCAATTATAACCCTACCGTAAACTTTTCCTGGTACTGTATACTCAGTAAACTTATTCCTCTATAATTTTTACAATCTCTTTTGTCCCCTTTCCCTTTATATAAAGGGACTATACATGCTCTCCGCCAATCCCTAGGCACCTTCCCTTCTTTCATACATTTATTAAACAAAAGTACCAACCACCCCAACACTATATCCCCCCCTGCTTTTAACATTTCTGTCATGATCCCATCAGTTCCAGCTGCTTTACCCCCTTTCATTCTACGTAATTCCTCACGTACCTCCCCCACACTTACATTCTGCTCTTCTTCACTCCTAAAAGTTGGTATACATCCCTGACCAGTGCATGAAATTACCGCCTCTCTTTCTTCCTCAACATTTAAAAGTTCCTCAAAATATTCTCGCCATCTACCTAATACCTCCATCTCTCATCTACTAACTCCCCTACTCTGTTTTTAACTGACAAATCCATACTTTCCCTAGCTTTCTTAACTTGTTTAACTCACTCCAAAATTTTTTCTTATTTTCATTAAAATTTCGTGACAGTGCCTCTCCCACTCTATCATCTGCTCTCCTTTTGCACTCTCTCTCACCACTCTCTTTACCTTTCTTTTACTTTCCATATACTCTGCTCTTCTTATAAACACTTCTGCTTTGTAAAAACCTCTCATAAGCTACCTTTTTCTCTTTTATCACACCCTTTACTTCATCATTCCACCAATCACTCCTCTTTCCCCTGCCCCCACCCTCCTATAACCACAAACTTCTGCTCCACATTCTAATACTGCATTTTTAAAACTATTCCAACCC